TACTTGATTACCATGTTTGGTTGTCAAGTAATATAAGATACCGGTAATTTTCAAATACCAATAGTGATTACTATTGGTAATATTGGAGGTAATCTAATTACCTCTATTTTCGTAGGTATTCTGAGATTACCAGTGTTATCTTTTTTTGTTACAATTTTATCCCTTATTAATAAAAATTTTGGACAGTAATACCCCTACTTTAAAACAAATTTACATTAATATTCTATTTCAATTTTACCCTTGATTAATTAAAATTTTGGACAATAATGCGCTTATATTTAAAATAATTTACAGACCATCACTGCCACCTAGCCACCACCGCCAACAGCGGGCCAACCACCATGGGCCGCCGCCGAAAAATCACCGGAGTCCCTAAAAAAGAACGAGACTCGGTGGGAGACTCTAGAAGGCTTCTATATGGCTGTTTCGGAACATATTGATGGCCGAAAACAGCCATATCAGGCCAGATCTATTATGGCCGGAATAGATCTGGCCGCTAACAGCCAAGTCCATGGCCGTTAACTGCCAGATCTCGTCCAGATCTGGCCTGATATGGCCGCTTTTGGCCATCAATATGGCCGAAAACGGCCATAGAGAAGCCTCTTGGTCACGGTCAGCTACTGATGGGGACTTTTGGAGACTTCCGGCGGTGATCTACGGTGGCGGCAGGTGGTGGGGGTGATTTCGTAATAAATTAAAGTTTTATATAAGCGGGGGTGTTTTAACTAAATCTAAAATATTGGAGGTTAAATGAAATTATTCAAAAATTAATAATAAAAAAATATTATATTAATATTTGAAAAGGGGATAATTTGGTAATTTAAATAACATACCCACCAATTTATTCTCCATAACCAAACATATTAATATAACATACCCACCAACTAACCAAACACATTTTTCTAAAGATTCTCAGTAATCTTCCAAGGTAATCTATCTTTCCAGTAATCCAACATTTCCTGTAATCTAACATTCCTGAACCAAACGCCTCAGTAATCTTTCTTTCCGGTAATCTTATTACTAAGATAAAAAAATATTATATGATCCAAACACCCGCTAAGGGATAAAATTGTAACAAAAATAAGATTACCTTGGTAATCTTACAATTCATAAGAAAATTGAGATAATCGGATTACCTCCAATATTACCAATAGTAACAACTATTGGTATTTGGTAATGCAAGATTACCGGAATCTTATATTACTTGACAATCAAATATAGTAATCAAGTAATATAAAATGACATAATCCTAGTAATCTTTCATCACCTCCAACCAAACGCCCATAAGGTTCTGCATGATTAGATTGGATTGGATTAGGTTTTGAAATTAGAACTGGATTGGATAAGAATAGTACTGTCTTGTATTTAGTTGAAGTTAAGTATGGGATCGGGTTAGAATATTTATTTTAAAAATTAATTAAATATAATTTAGTAATAATTTTTTATTTATTATACTATTACATTTTAAATTAATTATTAAATAAGTATAATAATTTGTATATTAATAATTAGTTCTCATTATATAAATTAAATTTAATATTAATTATAGATTATAAATAAATTTAATAAGAATCATCAAAAAGTATATCCCAATCCTTTGGGATAAATAAAAAGTAGACTAGGATTGGATAATACATAAACAGAAAAAAATACTATACATAAGAATAATACATAAAGCCACACAAATATAAAATTTTAATTTCGGAGTCCATTGAACACCTTACAACTAATCTCACCCAAGGTCCATTGAACAACCTACAATTAATCCCATCCAAGGTCTATTGAATACCCTACATTGAATTTCCTACAAGCCCAGATACGTCACAAATGTGGTAAGTGATCACGTTGTGTGACTCGAACATAAGACCTCTAGATAATCCAAAGTCTTGTTGTCCGGTTACAAGCCAATTGGTTAAAAACCTGGATTAAAGAGCTAGTTAATTTGATACATTTTTACAGCTTTTTTTTTTTTTTACATATTTATATATTGAAAAGAAAAAGAAAAAAGAGGAAGTATACAAGGATAAATAGACAACTGGTAAATGATAAAACAAATAGTGATTTCCTAATTTGAAGTGAGGTCTAATCTTGTATTAATAACATTAACTCATGAAAGTTTTACAGGCCAAGGACCATCTTGTTCCCCAAAGAAACAACCCCTCTTCTGGTTTTGTTCAAGTTTTTTGTCCCTCCCCCCCTGGACCCCCACTCGATATTCTTAATTTTACATCAATATTGAATGCTCTCTTCTCTTGTGTACGAGGTGACCAATCATCTACAGTTCCTTCAACCATTTTCTTTCTTGTTTTCATTATGTTTTTTAACCTTACTCTCTCCCAATTAATTAACCCTTGTTCCTATGCACATTTGATATGACTTTTCAACTGGAAAGAAGATGCTTTACCATTACGCCCCCATTGTCAGCTCAATGCTTCGTCTCATCACCAATGCAATTAAAACTTTGTACCAATTATCACTTTGGAATCTTTTCTTCTTTTGTTTTTGGGTTAATCTAAATTACATTGAGTTTGTGGTACTTTTTAAAGCTTTTCTTCTCAAGTTGTCAACAGTACAGAACATGGGTTGATAATGTGTCACATGATTTTACGTCGTTTTGATTCATTAATAGTAAAAACAGTAATTTTATTCTTATATCAATAAATATCTGTTACTTTCTTTTCTTTTTTCTTTTTATCAAATGTTAATATTACGTCTTTCATTACATATATCAAACGAAATCTCGTAAGAAAAGTGTTTCATTGAAAGAAGAAAACTTGTAGCTTGAAATCCATATGGGAGCTGAATGTTCGATAACACTAAAACGTTACATTTTCATGAGAAAATTAGCATTGGAGTAATTTGATGAAAATTTTAAACAGTACCTACCGAGAATGAAGGACAAAAAGAAAAAGACAATATATACTAATTAAACATTACATTTTCATGAGAAAATTAGCAAACGAGTCAAGTCGAGTTCGATTAATTAGGTACTTAACTTGACTCGACTCGATTAATCAGATACTCAACTCGACTCGATTTCACCCTTACCTAGAATGTTAATATTATTAAAAAAGTATAGAATAGAATAACTCATCATATCACGTCATTCATTACTTACATCAAACAAAATCTCGTCGGAAAAATGTTTCTTTGAAAGAAGAAAACTTGTAGCTTGAAAGGCATATGGGAACTGAATGTTTGGTAACACTAAAACATTACATTTTCATGAGAAAATTAGCATTGGAGTGATTGGATAAAAGTATTTTAAACTTTACATTTTCATGAGAAAATTAGCATATGAGTCAAGTCAAGTTCGATCAACCAAATACTCAATTTGACTTGACTCGATTAACCGAGTACTTAACTCAATTTGACTCGATTTCACCCTTAACGAGAATGTTAATATTATTGGAAAATTATAGAATAAAATAACTCCTCATATCACGTCATTCATTACTTACTTATATTAAACGAAATCTGGCAGGGTAAGTGTTTCTTTGAAAGAAGAAAACTTGTAGCTTGAACCTTGAAATGCATATGGGAGCTGAATGTTTGGTAACACTTAAAACATTACATTTTCATGAGAAAATTAGCATGAGTAACTGGATAAAAGTTTTGAACAGTATCTACCCAGAATGAAGGACAAAAAGAAAAGACAATATGTACAGATTAAAGTCATAATATGAAGTAATTAGTTATGATTTAGGTTAAGATGAATAGTAAACCAAGAAAAAAAAAACACTTCAGTCAGTAGATTCCCCGGCGAAATAAAAGGGATTTGCAATATGACAAGTTAGACTTAGATTTTTCAAAAGTAGATAAATAAGGGTTTGACATAGAATATAAATATAAAAATAGGAAAAATAAGTGTTAAAAAATCTGCTGTATATTTCTCTCTTTGATTAACTGATATTTTACATTACAAATTCTGCAGAAAAGGCTGAAGCAGAATGACAGTCACAGGCAAAAGGATCTACTGTTTTTAGGGTTGATATAATTTGATGGACCACGAAGTGTAGATCTTAATATGGCCAAGATTTGTTTGATATGTGTCCCTGATTGATTAACTATGGATACCCAGATGGTCCCCACTGCAGAAAATTTCATTTTCACACCTGGCAAACATGGCCAAAAGAAAATAGAAGAAAAGAAAATGAAATGATGTTTGACTAGGGAAAATTCCTAGTTTGTTTCAGAAGACATAATGGTTAGCAGCAAAAGAGATTGAATACCATATAGTTTTTGTTATTGTTTTGTTGCAGTAAGAATGAGATTATAGAAGTTAAAAGAAAAACAATGTTCTAAAAGAAACACTTGCTTGCTGGTTGCTGCCACAGTCTGAGACAACACAACAGATCCAAACAACATTCTGTTTCAGAAATCTACCTTTCCCAACAAAATTTCCCACTGTTGGATTGGCCTATTATATTTTAGATCTGCACAATAAGACAACTCCCTTTCCACCAATCCTCATTTGCTTTTTAGACCAGGAAATCAAACCAAAATAAATAAATAAGAGAGAGAGAGACTTACATTACGTTACAGCTCAGTAGGCTTCCCCACTCTTCGTTGATTACACAAAAACAGTCGGAGAGAGAGGACATTCCAATAACTCTCATTTCCAAAAGTAAGTCTTAAGCAATAACATCTATGTAGCCATCGCAACTCAGAATCTGTTGCTTTGATAATGTCATGTTTTAGCTCAGCTGAAATGGTTATGCGTCTCTTCTATCCAGATCAGATGACAAAAAAGAGGCAAAAAGAAAGATTGAGTGAATTCAGGGAAAAGACTTGAAATTGAAGGGCTGATAACTACCTTTTCTTTTGATCCCCCTTCAATAATTATGTCTTCTCCACTGACTCTCCTATTAAAGTCACTTTCATGCATGTCGGCATCTATTTAGTAAAATCAACTTATATTTACAGTTGGTAACAACAATAAAACAATCCACATGGCCTTAGATTTTCCGATTGACAGATTCCACATTGTGTACCAATTAACCAATGATGTCAACGAGAGAGACTCCATACTTTCTCATCTCTCTCTCTCTCTTTTACCTCTTCCTATGAATATTGCAATGTTCCTCTTTCTGCCTTCACATACAAACAATTTTGTCATAACATCTACTCTTCTGCACCTTCTAGCTATTTACCTAGTTTCTTTCATTTCCCATATCTCCATTGGGCAATTATAGAAAAACAGTAGCTTTGATTTGCGAGGACGACATGATGTTCTTGGTAGATGGGGGCTTTCTATAAGTGACATTTTCATTGGATGATGAATAGGACAACCAAGTGGGGTACTCAGAAAAGCAAATGAGTTGTCTACTGAGCTGTTGTTTCAGATTTAAGCAGAATATTGAACATTACGACCAAATATCTGATTCCTAAGTGGATCCTTAAGATCGGCAAGCTTTGTGTTTCTCAGTACTTGTGGGCACTGGAGAAGAAGTACTTGAAGCGGCAGCAGTATTGTTCAAATATCAATGTGAACATAAGAAATTTTACTTAAAAATAACTAATTCAACTGTAGTTTTGCAGCATAGGTATTGGAATCTTGAGCTCCTAAAGCTGAAAATCCCCCATTTATGCACTTCTACTTTTGAGTCCCTTTTATTTCTCTATGCTGATGATGGATCACTCATGATTTTATCACAGGTTCAATGTTCAAGTTGGTTGAAACCATATGTTGAAATCGGTTGCAACTATAGCTGGAGGCGCTGCCGGGGCATTTGCTTTAATGGCAATATTCGTCGGACTTTTGTGGTTCTGCAAGTCACAGTGTAAAAATGTTTTGAACAAGAATTCAGAGACAGGTTCCTCAGATCCATCTGCACTAGGTAAGTCTTCTGCGTACAAAGAGAAAGAAGCTTCTGGTAGCTGCTAATGTCACAATGTGTGTTCACACATTAACTTTATAACATTACAGTTGAGTGGAATAGAGGGGCAGGACCCAGTTCAGCCACAGACCAGCCTCTATTTGGACCCCATGGAGCAAGGCATTTCACAATGGCAGAGTTGGAGCTAGCCACCAGGCAATTTAGTGAAAGTAGTCTCATTGGCTATGGAAGCTTCGGTCCAGTATACAAGGGCTTGCTTTGCGATACTGTCGTTGCTATCAAAAGGCGCCCTGGTCCTCCTCGACAAGAATTTGTTGTAGAGGTATGGTTAATTTTGAACATATTCATTTATAGATTGCAAAATATCTGTAAAAACTCAATAGAGATTAATGAGTCTTTTGAAGTAAACAGGTTAATTACTTGTCCGAGATTCGGCACCGGAATTTAGTTACTCTTCTTGGTTACTGTCAGGAGAGTGGATCTCAAATTTTGGTATTTGAATATCTACCAAATGGCAACATGTGCAATCATTTATATGGTATGGTTCACCTGTAAAATTTTGTTTTGTATGATTATTTATGCATTAAATGTCACAAGAATTTTTGTTTCAACTTTGACAGATACCGGGCGAGAGTCATCAACTAAACTGGAGTTCAAACAGAGGGTATCCATAGCTCTGGGGGCGGCTAAAGGTAAAGGCAATGAAAACGTTATAGATTTATCAAGAACTGGGAAGGATTGAAATCAAAGTATTTTAATTTTTTTAGGTTTATGCCATTTGCATAGTCTAAGACCTCCCTTGCTGCACAAGAATTTCAAAACAGCTAATGTGTTGGTTGATGAGGACTTCATTGCTAAAGTTGCAGATGTAGGAATCTCAACACTACTTGAAAAACTAGAAGAAACAGGTCCATCTCACATGACCAATGTCAATGTTTTCCGAGATCCAGAGTAAATTAATTTCTTCTGATTCTTTTTTTTTTTTTTTTTGTTTTGTGCTGTAAATTATTTGGCTTTCACACCTATTTAATCATTCATCATGAACTCCAATGCTTAGGCTAGAAGAACCAGGAGCCTTCACAGAAATGAATGATGTTTACAGCTTCGGGGTGTTTCTCTTTGAGCTTGTAACTGGACAAGAGGCTTCCCGTATTGCCTCCTTGGGATCTTATGAAGCCTTAATTGAATGGGTGAGTAAGATATGAATTCTTTATTACTCCGATGCTTTAGTCCAAGGTTTCTTTAAAGTTATTAAAATTTGGATCATTGAAGGGGATTCCTGTCCCAAGTCTATCATTTTCTATACTTTCTTTTTGAGCAGCCAATAAATGTGAACCACATTAATTTCTGTTAATTTTTCTAAGGTGCGATCAAGATTGAGTTTAAACGATTTTGTGGACCGTCGACTGGTGGGAACTTTCACTACAGATGGAATCAGGGACTTGATCAGGTTGACTCTACAATGCATGAGCTCTCCTAGTAGAAGGCGACCAAAAATGGAAATGGTTATGGTTGAACTTGAACGGATTCATGAGAAAGAGATGGCATTAACAACATTTATGGGCGAGGGAACTGCTACAATTACTCTAGGTAGTGAATTATTTACTTAAAAATGAAGTGAGATTTGATTGGTGCCTGTGTTTGAGCCAAGCTTAAGCATAAACAACCACCATCAACAATTTGATTATTTATAATATTATTTGGGAAGGGGTGTTTTGGTTCCTGTAAAGGGATTGATATGTAAGTATAAATGAGCGATGCAACATTTTATCAATGATTAATACTTCAACTATTCCAGTTAGTTTTACTGAATCTATATCCAGTTGAATTCAAGTAGTTTGACATTCGTTAATCAGACAATTGAAAGAACAACTCTGATAGTTAACCACTGTGATTGTCAGAATTATATAAACAGAAACAAGCAGATCCCATCACCATCCAATAAAACAACATCTTCCATTTCTTTTATCATAACCACTAACATAAAGATTCTGTGTAAAACCAAAAATTCACTAAAGGGAGCTGTGTAGTGCAGTCACTCAACTCCAGATGGCTTCTTCAACACTCAAAACTGAAATTTATATGCCAAGTCTTGATTGCACTTCATATGTGTGGTCTTTCCCCCTGCAAATCCCTCAAGGAAGCAGAAGAAAGAGTGTCAATTCCATTGAGAAAGTTAATGAACTAAAGCTAGATTCAAACTCAAATATTGTCAAGAGAGTTTCAGTAATGAAGGCAATGGATACTAAATCTGGCCATGCCAGTCTGATCCTGTTACAACTTACAACACATGTTCTGCAGGTCATGTTGATTATGACAAAGCGCTTCCCCACAACCACGTCATGAAATGTACTTTTCAACACCAGCACACATTCATCTAATCAATCAGAAAATTCAATTAGGTCGAAACTTCAGAGTTCAGACACAAAAATGAAAGATATCTACAAGATTAAATAAAAAGTTTCTTAACGTACAAGTTATATATATAACAATAAATGATTCCTAGTTGTGGGTTTGCCCCATCAAGATTCCTTGTTCCCCATTCATCCAACTATCACCCACCACACGATTTCAATGGCGGGTCCAGTAAGATTTCAAGTTACCCTACTGAAATCGCATTTCTTTTCGTCATTTCAGGTAAAAGGTAATGCATCATGTCCATTACTCTATCTGTTTTAACGTACGTCATAAGAAAAGTTCACCTGTAAAAAGTAAACAAGGTAATAAATAAAACAAAAGAATAAAACTATTATTTTTAGTTTTTATTATAGGAGATGTTCGTGCCAGCTTACACACACCTCAATTAGTCTTTTGACCCTAAACAAGACTTTTGAAACTGTTTTTGTAATTCGAATTTGAGACCACAAGGGCAGCAACCATGGTTGTTAGTATCCTACGATACCCGATACGTATCATACGATACGATTCGATACAGGTCGTCAATGATACGTATCAGAGGGTGTATCCTAAACCATTCGATACATTGATATGTATCCTACGATATGATACGTATCCGTTCATATCCTTAAAAATATCGATATAAATCGATACGACTTTATTAATTTAGGCCAAAGATCCAAAAAAAAAATCGGGTCGAAACCGGGTCACCCAACCCGATTCACTAAAACCTGTCCAAATTTACCTATTTTGCATGAAAAAAGTGAAGAGGAATATGTATTACCCATTTTACATGATAATAATAATATAAGTGGAGATATAGATATTGACATTGATCTTGGAGTTTTGTGATTAATTTTGATTATATAATACCGTAATTTAAAGTCAATAATACCACAAAATTCTTTAATTAATCTTGGGGATTATATTAATTTTTAGAAAATTTTGATTATTTTATTAATTTTTTTAAAAAGGACGTATTTTACGATACGATACGATATGATACACGATTCAAAAAATTAGGTTTTCGATACACGATTTGATAACTATGGCAGCAACCCTTTGGCCCCAAGCCTTTACCACTCTGATAGTTGTCAATTTCATTATTTAACTTGCTTTCTTCCGCGTTGTTTGGTTTTATTATCTCTTTGGGAAAACTCATGCAACAAGAAATACTACTACCTATTTCCGAGTAGTTGAGTGATTCGATAAAGACTCTTGGGTGTATTACTAAAGAAATTCTGAGTTTAAATCCCTCATCAGATATTAATAGGAGTAGTCACTAGAACTCTTAGTCAAACGGTAGTTTCAAGGTCACGATAGATTAATCGAGATATGCGTAAGTTAGCCCAGACAACCGCAGTCATTAAAAAATCACTACTAATACAACAAACCCTTTTCTGTAATTGAGTATATACGTCATGATCAAATGAATTTACGTGCAGTTGTTCATGAGAAAGACTTTCTTCTCATGAGCATTACAAATAATGTTAAACCATACTAAATTATTGTGTATCCAATTATCTTTATTTGATATCTAGATGTTTAGATTAATATAAAAGCTACAAATAACAGTTAAGGTTTCAGTGCTAAAAGGAAGAGCTAAAACTTTAATTATAATTTTAAAAAATAAAATAAAATTGTATTGAAGTGTGATTAGAAAAAAAGTGTTTGATGGTTGAAATGCAAAGGTGGAGATGAGATTGAGATTGATATAAAGATTAACAAAAGCTCAAAGTAACCAACTTTTAAAAGGATAGGTGAGGAAGACCTTTCACCCTAATTTTGGTCAATAATACCCTCATCTTCAATTATTGATAACTCTCTTCTACTTTCTTCAATTTCTTTTATTAGGCATTTTTTAATTTTTTAATTTTTTTAATGTCCGGAGGAGTTCAGACCAGCTTACGCGCACCTCAACTAATCTCTCAGAACCCTAGAACTATCAACCGGATAAGAGCTTCAGTGGTTATCCCTATTAGCAACCAAAAAAGAATATGAACTCAAGATCTCTTGAGTAATACATTCAAGAGTCTTTATCGAAGCACTCGACTATCTAAAGATAGTTTTTTTTTTTAAATCTTGATATTTGAGGTTGAATATCAACTTAGAATCATATGGAAGAATTTTTTTTTTACATTTAATTGAAGAAACTCGTGTGAATACAAATGGAATAATTTAGGGGTGTAAATGATGTAGAATTGTTGAGGGGTTTATTAATATTCTGTCAAGGACCCTTTTAAAATCATACATATCGACACTAAAACCACGATATTTCTTTACGAGTAATATTATACATACAATATTTTCATAATGTGACGAAAGATGATTGACTGATTTTAAATTAAAAATAAATTTTTATCCAATCATCCTTTATCATATCATGCTTTATAAAAATATTGAATGTATAGTATTATGCTACCTTTATTTGATATTTTTTCCGGGACCCATTAATATTTTACAGTCAACGTTAATTTGACTGATACAGTGTAACCACATGTGTTTGGTTGAAATTGTATTGATAATAGCATGGGCTTCAAAAATGATGATTCCATAAACTATAATATAAAATATATAATTCAATCTCATGTGACATAAAGTCATGTAATAATTTATATAAACCCGTGATGCCATTATTAATCCTTCAGGGACTTAATTTAATTAGGGACATGATTCAGGTTATTATCTTTCCAATCCAACGCCATAATTAGTCTACTAATTACATACTTTTAACTTTTAAGTAAACTAATTAGGAGGCCATGGCTTAAACAATGATAATGGTAAAGAATCTTTAACAAAATCTAAATTTCGGAATATAAAATATTTAATAATAATAATAATTAAAGTGCCTCCACAAAATTAGCAATTTGNATAGAAGAATTTTTTTTTTACATTTAATTGAAGAAACTTGTGCGAGTACAAATGGAATAATTTAGGGGTGTAAATGACGTCAGAAATTTTGAGGGGTTTATTAATATTCTGTCAAGGACCCTTTTAAAATCATATATATCGACACTAAAACGACACACTTCTTTAGCAGCCAAGGACCCTTTTAATTTTGACTGATTTTAAATTAAAAATAATTTTTTATCTAATCATCTTTTATCATGTCATATTGTATAAAAATATTGAATGCATAATCTTATGCCATCTTTATTTTATTTTTTACAGGGACCATTGATATTTTACAGTTAACACTAATTTGACTGACACAATGTAACCACATGTGTTTGGTTGAAATTGTATTGATAATAGCATGGGTTTAAAAAATGATGGGTCTGTTTGTTTTATTATTTTGGATAGAATTTTAGAAATAATATTGGATAGTTGAATACGAGAGTATTACGAGGTAAAATTAAAAAATTTATAAAAAAACCCCTAGGTTTGCTAATTTAACTAAACACCCCAATATATAAAAATTTTATAAAATGAAAAACACCCCTACTACTCGCAGTGCCAAATTCTAGCCACCACCGCTGCAATCTGACCGAAAAATTGTGTAACGACACATACCGATCGGATTTGGTGGGTATGGCGTCGATATGGCCTTTTCCGGCCAGATCCACCACGGATCTAGCCGGAAAAAGTCAGATTTACAACCAGATGTGGCCGTCAACGGCCGCAAAAGTCCATCTTTGGTCGTCAACGATGACCATTTTTTTTGCCGTCATCTGGCATTTTCTGGCTCCAGTCGTGGTGTAGGCCGTTGTGACAGATTCTAGCTACCACCGACGGTGGTTTTCAGAATCTAGCAAGTATGGATCGGTGGAGGTGTTTTTGTTAATTTTTAAACATTTTTCTGGGGGTATTTAATGAAATTAATAAACTTAAGAGGTCTAAAAGTAATTAAAAAATATAGTACTATTTCTCAAATAATGTGCCAAACAATATTTGGGGAATAGGATTGGAAATATGAGTATAAATATGGAACTAAACGCACTTTGACTGACACAATGTAACCACATGTGTTTGATTGAAATTGTATTGATAATAGCATGGGTTTCAAAAATGATGATTCCATAAACTATATTATAAATATATACTATATTATAAATATATAATTCAATCTCATGTGACATAAAGTCATGTAATAATTGATATAAACCCGTGATGCCATTATTAATCCTTCATAACCTTTGAGAATCTAATTTACTTAAGTTAATTAGGGACATGATTCAGGTTATTATCTTTCCAATCCAATGCCATAATTAGTCTACTAATTAGATACTTTTAACTTTTAAGTAAACTAATTAGGAGGCCATGGCTTTAACAATGATAATGGTAAAGAATCTTTAACAAAATCTAAATTTCGGAATATAAAATATTTAATAATAATAATAATTAAAGTGCCTCCACAAAATTAGCAATTTGTT